GTCGTGGTAGCAACATGCTATGTGTTTACATCCATCGCCGCCATGTTTGTAATGACTTATCACAAGAACAAACGTATTCAAACACCGCAGTTGCAAACCTGTTTTTTCGACATTGACAGAATATCGACAAAGTTTTGCGCACATTTGCAATGGAAACGCAGCTAGAGAGGGACCCTCCTTAGTCTGCTCTAGTCTTATTTTACACTCCCACCCCTCATGCTCAAAAACACAGAGTTTGGACTGTTAGCTAACTACCAGAAAAAAGACAATGAGGAAAAGCTGTGATGCTACTGAGTGTACAAAGTGGGCAAACCTAATGAGCTGTAGGTTATTGGGTGGATATGGTCGAGTCAAATTTATTCATTTCATTAAAAAAACAAACAAAACATTTCGCACACAACAATATGAAATGAATATGGCTGAATATGAATATAAATGGCTGAATATGCCATTTAGCAGTTTTAGCATTTGGCAACATCTGAATAACAGTAGTGTTTATAGAAGGAAGTAAACTCATGAATGAATGAATGAATGAATGAATGAATGAATGAATGAATGAAACTATGTGCAATTAAAACATAAACATAAAAACATTTGATGCATTGCACCAGATTTAGCCTACGGCTAATTTACATCTGCAATCCTCAACACAACATCCAACGATGATAAAAACAAGAAGAGAAAATAACAGCAAAATTAAAACAATACAAAATAAAACATTTTACAATCAACAATAAAAATACATATAAACACCCCGCCCCACTCTCCAAACCACAATTAAATGGGTATATCACTAAACATTCAACAAAAAACCCACAACTCCCCCAAACCAAAAGCAAACTCTAAAATTGATTACCCAGTGCAATTCAGTGATTGCAACACTGAGTGGATTTAAGACTATTTTAAAACTAATAAAAGAACTACTGAATGAAACGTGCTCAGCTGCACCCTCCACACAAGATAATAGAATAATTTCACTCCAGCTCAAAACAGCAACAGGAAAAGTACCATTTCTACCATTTGTACTAGGGGTCGACCGATACCTCGGCCGGCCGATATTTTTGGCCGATATTTGTGTTTTTTCCCTTGTATCGGTATCGGCCGATACACTGTCCGTTCGGCCGATCCGTTCTTTGGGTCACGCGAGCGCATGTGTCCGCCCCTTCCCCCGGGGAGAGCGCAGCAGCTAATGTTGTGAGACAGAGTGCTAACAACAACAAAGGTGAGTTATGATCTGGGTGAGTTTTATCTCTGTATACCACCGAAGCCTCACCTAACCCTACTGAATTGGATGATTTTTTTAAAGATATTAAAATCCCTTCACTAAGTTCTGACCTATCTAACGAGTTGGAAAGAGGTTTCTCTTTGGCTGAGATAAACTCTGCAATTAAAAATATGCAAAATGGAAAATCTCCAGGTCCAGATGTTTTCCCGGCAGAATTCTTTAAGAAATTTTCGGATCTACTTTCTCCCCTGTTGCTATCAGTTTTTGAGGAATCCTTGGCTACACAATTATTGCCACTGTCTATGCGTCAGGCAGTAATTTCCTTGCTTTTAAAGAAGGATAAAGACTCCTTGAGCTGCAGTTCATATCACCCAATATTGCTTTTAAATACTGATGTGAAAATTCTTACAAAGATGTTGGCAAAACGAGTCGAACAGATTATCCCCACAATTGTTGCACCTGACCAGACCGGTTTTATTAAAAATCATCAATCCTTCTTTAATATCAGGCGGTTGTTTAATGTGTTGTATACTTCTGCTCCGCCCGGTCACAACTGCAATGAAATTTTAATCTCGCTGGACGCCGAGAAAGCGTTTGACTGGGTGGAGTGGAACCATCTTCTTAAGACCTTAGAGATGTTTAACTTCGGCCCTAAATTTGTTTCATGGGTGAAGTTGATATATACCTTGCCAATGGCAGCAGTACGCACTAACAGTAATCTATCCAGCTATTTTGAATTGGAACGTGGTACGAGACAGGGGTGCCCATTCTCGCCACTCTTATTCGCAATTGCGATTGAACCACAGTGGCTTTACGGAACAACCCTAAGATTAAAGGTATTAATCGGTTTGGCACTGAACAAAGTTTCCTTATATGCAGATGAAACTCTTCTTTTTATTTCAGATCCCTTGTCCAGTATTCCTGAGTTACTTCTTTTACTTCAAAAGTTTGGAAACATATCTGGTTATAAGGTTAACCTTCAAAAAAGTGAATTGATGC